TAACAGGAATATATCCTCTACAAGGCTTCGGGAGGCGGCTGGAAAGAGTAGAAATCGGCCAAATAGAAATATAGCATCTAAACCGTTCTCTCCAGCAGGCCAACTCCCTTGGCATGCTAGCTGTCTATTTGGCCGATTTCTACTCTTTCCAGCCGCCTCCCGAAGCCTGGTAGGGGCTAACAGGAATACAGAATCTTATTAACAGTTGAATTTCAGCTCATCGAAAAAGGAAGTTCATATTACACACGCTATAATGGGTATGTTGAGGTAAACAAAAGTATACATTTGAACATTTCTTGGCGTAAAAACCTACCACTACGAGGTTGGGGTCCTCACTAAGGGCACCATGTAGAAGCGCCACCATGCGGTCGTCCAGTTGATTGACAGACTCGGCGGAGTAGCCGTGGTGAGCGTTCAGATCGAACGCCGCCCACTTGGCCGGATGGGGCATGCGCAGGAAGTCACGTGTGTAGTTCATGATGTACTCGTGTAACATGTGGTTTCCCTCGCAAAACCCCGACAGAACGTTTGGGCTGACCTATCAGATAGAAGAATATATACAGCGTTTGTCAAAACCCCGACAGAACGTTTGGGCTGACCTATCAGATAGAAGAATATATACAGCGTTTGTCAAAACCCCGACAGAACGTTTGGGCTGACCTATCAGATAGAAGAATATATACAGCGTTTGTCAAAACCCGGACAGAACGTTTGGGCTGACCTATCAGATAGAAGGATATATACAGCGTTTGTCAAAACCCCAAAAGAACGTTTGGGCTGACCTATCAGATAGTAGAATGTATACAGCGTTTGTCAAAACCCCGACAGAACGTTTGGGCTGACCTATCAGATAGAAGAATATATACAGCGTTTGTCAAAACCCCGACAGAACGTTTGGACTCACCTATCAGATACAAGAATATAATATAACAATACAAGCATTAACAAACATAACGGATTTCTTTGCACGAGGGATTAAAGAGGCCATCTCCATCAGGGCATTACAACCATCCCTCAACAGAGACGGGGGGGCGCCACAGACTTTCTGCAACCTATGATCCACTGCTCACGGAGTCACGTGTGTTATCTGCGTGACGTCACGGAAGCGGTGGATTGTTCATTCCTTGACAAAAACTGGAGTTGTACAGTCGAAAATTTGAGTCCTATTTCTTGTGTTGGAAATTACAGTTTAATCTTGCTGCATAATATATATATAACATTAAACAACATAGTTCAACATAGTCATAGTTCTTGAAATACGCTCGTAATTTTAGATGGCAATGTAGACTAGCAATAACATGAGCTTTGTAGTTTTTTTAGTAACGTTTCCAACAATTAGGGTACATTCATACAGCATTTTTAAAAACGATTGATGTGCATGTAAAAAGGGACATTTGTCAATTTTTACTCGCATAACTATCTGTTTGTGAAAAATTTAAGATTATTTTGGTTGGTTTGTTTGTTTGTTTAGGATCTCCATTAGTGTGAATTTCGCATTATTCTTCCTGGAGTCCGTAGGGAATCATCAGATAGTAGTATTTGGACCATCACACACTGGGGCATGCCCCTACTCTTTTTGAAAGGTGTGGTGGGTGAGGAAAATATGTTGAAATAATTATGGGTTCACCACACCACGAAGTGGTGTGGTGAAACCATATTGCTTTTTCTGATGTTTCTTCTTCTTCTTCTCCTCCTCCTCCTTCTCCTCCTGCCATTTTTTAAATGGATTCAGCTTCTTCATTTTAGGGCCCAAGGTCCTGAAATTTGGTATGGAGGTACAGTGGGCAAATACCCCTAGGCGTTTTTTAAATTATTGTGATACAGGCTTTTAGAATGGTTTTATTTGAGTTTTTTGGCTGTGTTATAGCAAATGTATTACTGTGTTAGGGTGCCTTGTTTACCACGTTTGGACATGAGTCATCACAATGGAATGCAGGGCATCAACCAATAGGCATGCTAGCTTTCCTCTATACTTCTTGCTGATTGGCTGTTGGGATTTAACTTGATTAACACCTGCACAGAAGCATTTCCATACTGACAGTATGTCTGTATTCAAGTGTTTTGGTAGGTATTTCAAGCTTTCCTGCTCCAGCAGTGGAATGCCGGGCATGGACGTTTTTTTTATTTGAAAATCAACAGTTTGCATTATGCAATTAAAAATCCTAACCAATAAAGTAGGGAATAGCTATCCAACTGTTGTTTTAGTTGTATTTTACTTCATATTATAGTTATATCAATGTAAATCATTGTTTTCCCTTGTGTTTCCCATTCTTTCCCTGCCATGTCGTAAAATGTGGTGAACCCATCGCTGTATTTGCTCCAAAGCAAATATTGGCCTTTCTAGTTACAGTTAGGCTTTTCATGAGGCTACAAAAGCCTTCTTCGTTAAACCTATATACATTGGATATTCTAATACATACATTGTGAATATCAATAATTATTGTAGTAAAATGTTGAACTTATTCCAACACTGCAACAGAGATGAACTTACATAATCAATGATTA